ACACCAGCCATCTCGGACTTAACGTTTTTACCTGCCTGGCCAGGGTGATGACCAAACGTCAGCAGCCAGGCTCTGTGGCATGCACCTGTAACCCCAGCTAGTGGGGAAGGCAGGAAAATCACTAAGTTCAAGGCCACCCTGGGCAACTTATTGAGCTCCTGCCTTAAAATACAGTGCTAGGAATGTAGGTCAGTGGTAGAGGACTTGCTTAGCATATGCAAGGCCCCGGTTTGACCCCCAGTATCAGGGTTGGGGGGATACCACACTGTAGCATGTTAAATATACTTACCAGTCTCTGTGGCTTTTATTTTTGCCATATTAGAGTCTTCTGTAATTTAATTGTTATGTGACCATTATTTCTTTCCCTTTGAACTTGCTCCAATTGCTTTTGGGTTTAAAATCTTCCTAAACTCTAAAGAGGGACTCTTTTTCTTCCCCCCAAAAGGAAGGTCTTACTTCCCTTCAAGGCTTAGCTCCATTAGAAATGCGTATTGGTGTTGACGACGACGATCTAAGGCACCCTTTATTACATAACTCTCCAATTCAAGCGTATTTTAATTATTAATTTAACGCTAATACATTAATTCTAAGAATTCCTTTCTGGGAATGAGAAATTTAGAAATTCAGGAAGACTGAGTTTCCCTACAATTTCCACCTGATTGCACTAGCATTATTCCTCTTATTCCACACATAAACACACGTTGTGCCTACTTATTTCCTTAAAAAGAAGTCAGGAAGGGTGGGGGGTGCTCTCTCTATGACAGATGAAGCCTGGCTTCTTGACTAGAAATCCTGGTCTGTCCTTTCTGTCCTTGTGAGGGCTAATGGCTGTCATATTCCCACCCATCCTAACTTTGAGCAGATCACCAACATCACTGACTGCAAAGTGACTCTGTGGGGTAGGTGGTGAGAATTATTTTCACCAATAAACTATTCATATTATTTTTAAAACATTCAAATTATTTTTAAATGCAAATTTTACATTTTTTCTGACAACAGGTTGCCATGGGGCACGTGGAATATCCAAAGACAACTGGTGGACATCCAACACCCAGAAATTAATACAAGGACACCTCAATCCACAAATACTTTTGTTTGCAAACAGCTTCTGGCAAAATTTTGTTTTTGTTTGCAAATTCTGCATCAGGTGACTAATACAACTGCAGCCATTTTTCCCACACAAACACAAACTTGGCCATTTTTTCCAAAACTGTAGAACAAATTAAGTTCATGAACTAAGGCAGCACTATTTCATGCTGCAACCCAGGTACACATATTTTAAAAACAAAAGCTGCAATCAATTGCTCTATAATACACCAGAGATGGAACCCAGGGGTACTTTACCACTAAGCCACAGCACCCTCCCGCTAAATTTTGAGACAAGGGCTTGCTAAGTTGTCCAGGACGGCTTTGAACTTGAGATCCTTCTGCCTCACCATCCTAGGCACTGAGATTACAGGCATGCACCATCATGGCCTGCTTTAGTGACTCTAAATAACCTCACAGCATTGACATGTGAAAGTGACCAACTCCTTTCTGCAGGGCTAATTTTCCCTCTTCTAGTTCCTGAGTATATCTCCTACTAGTTCCTTGGGACAAAATCCCCAAAGGTGAACCTTGGGTGTAAAGCATGGTGACAACTTGCTCAGGCTCCCCCTGGCTAAGGAGTGAAGGGGCCCCTATCCAGTATTCTTTGGTGTGCAGGGGTTTGAACGAAGGGCGCTGTCCAGCCTGGCCAACAAGCAAAGCCCATGTGAAGGAAAGGTGTGCTCTTGCCGATGACCTGTGTCTGGGATCCAAGGACAATTTGTGGGTATTTTAATGAAGTGCCAGCAGAAAGACAGCGAGCCTCTCTGAGTTAACAGAGCCGTAAGAGACAACAAAAAGCTTATCTGGATACAACACTAAATACAACAAGGGAAGTAACCTTTAAGAAGTGCAAGTTCTCCCCAGACAAAGTCTGGCCAGCCGTCTGGGGGCAAGGCGATGGTCTCCAGGTCTTCCGGCAAAGAACCAAGACAGCCACAGCCAGAAAACAAGCCAGCCATAAACAGACCACCATGTGTCTCCCCGCTGACTGTGGGTCTGGAGCAGTCTGCCAGCTTCTACTTCCTGCAGCTGCCAGCTGAAGGAGAACCAGCTGAAGAGAACCGGGCAGCTACTCTGCCCACAGATAAGACAATGCTAAGATAAGGACTTTGATCTGCTTTTTGGTCCTAGGGACTGAACCTAGGCATGCTCTACCACGGAGCTACATCCCAGCCTTTTTTATTTTTTTGATGCAAGATCTCGTGAAAATGTTCAGACTGGGAGTGAACTTGCAATCTTCCCGCCTCTGCCTCCTGTGTGGCTGGGATTACAGGTGTGCACTTCCATGGTATCTGAGACAAGGTATTTGAGAACAAAGCTTTATGTTGATTCTTTCCCACATTTATAAACACTTAGGAAAGGTAAACAGCGGGAAATTATTTGCTACATTGAAATGTCCTGAGAAAAAGAGGTAATGTAAAAAGGGAAGTCCAAAGGGGCATGCGATTCACCTGACATTCGGAATTTTTTTGCCGGAATTAACAATTGCAGCCAAGCCTGGAGAATTTTACTTATATTGAGGAAATGTGCTTTCAAAGGCCCTGCCAGGCAATCAGGTCTGCACAGCGACTGCAGCAGCCGTTCAGTGAGGGCTGACTGTTCTGGCTAGACACCGGTGTCCCTCTCATTTAAACTGTATAGAATTAGTCTCCTCCTCCCAAGACAAGGAAAGGGACCCAGGGTGAGAAGCGCTCATAGGACACAGGGCTGGCAAAGGCTGGAGGGAGAATGCACATGCCAGGTCTTGGGGACCCGGCACGCAGGTGCACTGGCCTCTATGAGGCCCACCTGACCTTGCACCTGGCTGAGTTCAATGCCCACCCCTTCCCCCAGTACTTACTCTCAGTCACCTGGCTGGTCCTGGGAGCTGTGTCAGGCGTGGCTGCCTGGGAGACCGCCAGGCTGGAGTGAAAGAAACACTGGACACCAATTTGTAATCAATGATTTTTATCTTTGAAAATGGAAGCAAGTGTTTTGACAGAACACTGTGGCTGCTCTATAAGAGCCGATCTAGGAGGAATTCACTGTCCTCCTCTGGGATGTCACGGCGTTTTAAAAAAGAAGACGAAGACAAAACAGGAAAGATAACCCACAATGCTTCAGGCGCCTACTGTGAGCCTGGCTGGGCGTCCATCCATTAAATACATCAGAAGCTACACGCGAAGGTCAGGTAACTTCTCGATCTCCCTCTTTGCTCTGACCCACATTCCCCGTGGTGTTTCACCATCATCCACAGCTGTTCTGTTCACTTCATTTGATATCAGAACCTTAACACATTTCTGAATCTTAGAAATGAGGGTCCTTAGCAGAGTACACTGATAGAGAAATAATGTAGGCCTGACTACAAATCACTGTAATTGCTTTGTGTCTCACTGTCCACTTCAATATTGAACACACACATACAAACACACAAAACCACACCAGACATTCAGATGCCCTGCAGCTGTGGAGACAGCAAGCCTGTACTGTTGGCCTTGAATAGGTAGCTCCTCTACATGCACTGTATCACCCACCTCTGTCCCACTTCCTGTCTACTCCTGCGTCCACACCAGCCCAAGCCCATCCCAAGAACTCCCTGCATGCTCGCCATGGACTGTATAGGTCACGTTCACTCAGACACTCTGCTCTTTCCGCACAGAGGCTCCTTCAGCCTGGCTCTGCAAACATGCAGTCCGGGAACGTGGAGATGGGGCGGGCTCCCAGCTAAGGTAGGAATGAGCAGGGGCTCACCACTCAGTCTCTGGCCCCTTTGAGTCCACGGAGCCCCTGCGCCCTGACACAGCCTCAGTGTGAGCTGGAGAGGCAGAGCAGATGGGTCTTTGTGGAGGATACGAAGGGACACATCTGTACACGTCAGAGTGATGCAGAAGCCTGCGCTCCCGTTTCTGCTTCATTCTAGCCCACTCGCCTCAGTCTCAACGTTCACTAGTGCCCTCTGGCCTCGTCTTGAGGGTGTGATTAGGGCTGACATGCAGGAAGACAGGCAGGGCTGGCTGGGGAGCCCTGAGAGGTCACGGCAGACGTGAAGAGGAGGAAAGGCAGGTGCTCTGGGTGTAAGGAGAGCTGCTGCTCCTCTGGCACAACTCAGGGACAACACCGATCAAGTAAGAAACAGAGGACCACCTGGCAAAGGCTCCCCTGCACGCTCCCTGGTTTAGGCCCCACCACTGCACTTAAGAGCTGGGCACACAGCGACACTCAGCGATGTGTGCATCCTCCTGTCCAAGGCACCTCTGTCAAGTACTGACCAAAGCCCGGACCACAAGTTTCGAAGTGATGAATGCGCCAGATTCTGTGTGTAACAAAACTGCAGAAACACATGCTAGTTCGGGTTAGATTATAATCATCTGAAGCACAGGGTCAAGAAGCAAAATTCCATTCTGACACAACCACCCAATTTCTAGAAAAGAGAAAAGAAAGAAAGGAGGAGATAAGATTTGAGCTTTTTTGATCCGAAGACTCAGGAACGAGGGGCGGTAATGTGGGTCCACATGATTTTTCAAGTCTTCCTTGCGTACAGTCATTAAGATGACCAGGTTTGTGCTGCAACTGAGCCAGCACCATGTGGCTACTGCTCTGATTGTTCTCAGATGAGTGTTTATACAAAATAATATCTTCATTTAGTTTATAAACATACACAGTGCTGTCCCTTTCAAATTAAGGAAAAAAACCACACACAAATACTGCAAAGTAGCAAAATACAAAGAAAAACAAGCTACTTTTGGTTTTGGCAACATTAAAAAAAGGAAAGAAATATAAAAAGCAATGTGGCATTGGTCCCTAGTCATTAAAAAAAAAGGTTCTTGGGCACGACACTGAATCAGAATTGGTTTGTTTTCTAAAATTCAGGGTATCTTGGATTTTAAAAGTAGCACTTTTGTCTTTTAAAAGTTCAACAAGTCACATAACACTTAAAACATCAAAAAAGCTTTCTGATAAAAAGCTTAGCTTTTGTTTTTGCAAATTTGGGAGACGAATTGAATTCTTACTGGAATGTGGCCTATCGCTGGTTGACAGATCTGAAATGGAATGTCTCCAAATGGCAGTGCCTCCCTTCCGCCCTCCCTAGGACCACACCAACGACCAGCTACCAAGCACAAGTTCTTGCTCCCATTTTTGGAGGGATGGAGGTGGGACATTCAGGCTGCTATCTTCGACATCTGCTGTTCTAACTTGGAAATACGCTCATCTTGATTGCAGATTGTGTCTTTAATAGATTTGATTTCTTTTAAAATTTCATCCAACTTGGCTTCATTTTGCTAGAAAAGCAAATGAAAAGGGGTAGTGACTACAAAGCAGTACACAAAGCCCAGCACAGTTCTCATAGTAAGACAAAATATAATTTTCTGTTTTGCAAATGGCAAACTGTGATCTCCAAATTGAAAAGACGAGTCAAATCCCGCTGCCTTCTGAGAAGACAAACGACGCCGCCGGTTGAAGCATCAGAAACCACAGCACTACCTCTGGGCCCCGCGCTTGTGGACTCAGCCAGGCAAAGATTCTCTCAGAGAGAAAACCGTAGGGCAAGACTGGGCCCTTGCGGTCGGCCCTCTATCCCAACCCCCCTGACCCCCCCCCAAGCGCTCCATCAGCCATAGCCTTCAAATGATCAGGACGAGGGTGACGCGTTCCAAGGTTGCAGAGCCCCGCCCTCTCCAAGGACGGCCTTGGGAGCAAAACGTCTGCCTGTCTGCTGGCTCTGAAAAAGGACTGAGCCTCTCCCACTTGGAGCAGATTCTTTCGGAGCCTTACAACCAAAATCCGGCAAGTGGGCTTCTTGGTCGTAGCCCCAAATGTCAGCTCCTATAGGTACTCTGCCTCTCCATTCCTCTGACCATCTCAGAAGCAACTCACCCTATTGCCCGCTCGGCCCTGGACTCCCTGCCTCCTCCTTCCCAGGGCCCATCTTCTGTGGCACCTGGCACAGCAGTGCTGTCCAGCAGCCATGACAGGTCTTCACGGGCAGCTGGGCTCCTCGCATCCACCGATGGTTCTTGCCAAGTTCATCTTTGCTGCCAGCCCCCACACCACCAGACCACTGAGCAATACCTGAAACTCCTAGCACTTCTTCCCGCCAGAACACCTTCTTTCCTTGGCTTCTGTAACCCCGCACTCCCATGTCAGACTTCAACCAAACCACAGAGGGGTTTGGGAAAGTTAAGAAAACCCTGCCAGGTGTGGTAGCACACCCCTATAATCCTGGCACGCAGGAGGATGAGGCAGGAGAATCACTGAAAGTTTGAGGCCAGCTGGGCTACACAGTGAGTTCAAGGCCAGCCCAAACGGCATGGTGAAACCCTGCCTCAAAAAGATAAAAACAAACAAACCCCACAAAGGTCCTGTTCACTCTCAGAGATGATAGGTAGACATGCATCTACCCCAGTCATTATAAAACCCAGAGTTCTAGGAACCAAGCTCGGCCAGAAACTCACTGAGTCACCTATCCTAGGACTTTCTCACATGCAGTGAGTGGGATCATTTACCTAGAACTCCTGTGTGTCAACCCTGGGTCAGGACGGTCAGGACTCAATGCCCTGGGCCAGTCAGGGCTTTCTAAAGAAAAAGGCCCAAGCCAGCCAAGCACAGTCCCCAGTCTCCCGCACTCCTTACCACACTGGCTGTGTCTGTGTTTTTCTTGGGGACCGTGATCAGGTCACACTTCTTGTTTGCAGCAGGCTTGCTGTCTAGAATGTTCTTCTTGACCACTTTTAGATCCCTGTTTTTGCCTGGAATGTATCCGTGCTTCAAGGAGATGAGGACTGGGTCAGCATTCTTCCCCTCAAACCACTCTTCTGCCTCCAGGGCAGCTTCGGGCCCTGCTGTGTCAGGATACAGGTCATCCTGGAAAAGGTCAGACTGCAAGAGACATTTGAGGAAACCTTCTGTAAGGATGAAGAAAACTGTACGGGTTGTTTATTGTTTGTTTTTTTTTTAAACTAAAAATCGCCTAGAAAACTGGGCACTCACCTTCCTGGGAACAGTCATGATAATAGGCTCACATTTTCTCTCGTGAAGCTTGAAGAATCTTCAAAGGGAAATAAAGGCAAAGTTACAGGAAGTGAAATATGAGGCTGGGTGACAGAATTAAAAATACTTTTCTACAATGGAACATGGGAAGTGAAGTGCTCCTCTTCCCATCACCTCATCTGAGCCACCCTGGAAGTGGTGGGACTCAGTTCCTCATTTTACAGATGAGAAAACTGAGGCTGAGAACATCTGTGCTAGGCAGACCAGAGACAAGAACTGTGAGTAGAAGTGTCTATGAATTATGCCGACAGTCAAAGTAACTACAGTGGAAATAGCAGGAGTGGTAATGAGCTACTTCTGAAAAAGTTATTTGTTGCCAGTCCCAAGAGATCACACATCCTAGTCTATGCCGTGGGTGCTAGGTATTCTGCCAGCTTGAAGTAGCTGAACATCTGTGAAGTATAAACAGGATTTTTAAAAATGAAAAGAAAGCCATCCTGGGAAGTAAGATTTCGGCATCCAAGCAACCAGCCACACCATGGAAAATGTGAAATTATCCAAAATATAGAAAGAGTGGCAATGTAACGCAACTGTTACCTTATGGAAGGGGACAAAAAATACTTCTATGGTGGGGGGGGGGAATAAAATTCTCTTTTTCATCTTACAACGAACAAACCAGAAAACTACTTAAGATGAAAGTGCTAAGGGCAAGTCGAGGATGGGCAGTGACCCAGAGTTCTCTCAAGTTCTTGGCAAGACAGGCAGCCACATGAGTTCTGACCAGACTGCCAGGTGGGGCAGCTGCTGTGCAGGGAAGAGCCCAGCAGTCAGTGCGGGCACTGCCAAGGAAACACGTCTGTGCTCAGGTGAAACAGAAGCTGCACGCTGCTCTGCTTGGTAAAGGTGCTTGTAAAACAGTCATTTCACACCTAGTCACTACTTCCACACAAAGCGTTACAGATAAAGCAAAAACATTTCTAAAGACTGATTAATGAAAACTCTGTAGGCAGTGTGGATGTGAAAAGGATTGATTTCCAGTTCCACTACTACAGCTTTTGAGGGCGAGACAACTTCCCCAAGCCTCAAGTTTCTCATCCTTAAAATGGGGACAAAAATAACACCTACCTCAAGGGGTTGTTCTGCGAAGTCAAAGTCATATAGCACCGTTAGCACAGAGCGCAGCGTACAACCAGTGCTCAACAAACAGAGAGGAAGTGTCCTCCTGTTCCTAAGTGTTCGATGGGATCTTAAATTCACATTCAATCTGTTTTGAGCCACATTTTGATTAGGTCACAACACAATTTAAAATTATCTATGACAGCTTTTATCACTCCAGCTTTTAAATGACCATAATAAGGGCATATAAAAATCCTCTTACTGTTGTTTTTAAAAATGTAAGTATCAATTCTTAGTCACATGAGCAGAGCAGCAAACTTTTTGTGGCGTTGTTTTGGTGGTAGGGATTGAACCCATACATACTTTAAAGTGCATACAAACTTCATGTTACGTTCATGTGTGATATGATGACCTATCTAACAGTGTGGTGCTAGTCTGTTGCTTTAAATGGCCAGCAGCCACAGAGGCTCATGGAGTACCTTTTGTTAACTACTGTGGAAGAAAACTGCATCCCCTAAGAAGTTCATTAGCATTACAGGACATAAACGGGAACAGTACAGCGGCAAAAATTATATGACACAGCGGAACTGACTGAGTCAAGCTACCCTCACACCATTGTAGGATCATTGGCTTGTCTAGTTTAGGGCCAGCAGGTCCACAGTCCTGTGCAGAACCTCATTTTTAGCTCCTCAGGGCAGGAAAATCACCTGTCTAGAGCCAGGTTCTCACGTGCTTGTCCGTGAGAGAACACGGGCTGCAGCCTCAGCTTAGTCAAAAGACAGGATTTCATTATTTCAGTGAGCGTGCAATGCATCTCAGTCATGCCCCATAACTGCCACACTTGTGGTTATATGGGCAGGAAATAAGGTATTAACTAATCCCACAGCACACACAAGGATAGACAACTTGGGCATTATAAAGTACTTACAGTTGTACTGCACTGGTATCACAGGGACGGTACAAACAACTGAAATACTTTATCATACTGAATCTTTACCTGGCAATCTCACATTTGTTAACATCAAGTCCCCTCTTGGGCATGTAACCCATCCCTCTCTGAGGCTCCTTGCTGCTGAACGTGTTGAGGTAGTGGACATATGGGGATTCATCCGTGATCTCAAAATAGCGGATACTACTGTCACCCTACAAGAAATCAGAGACAGACGAGTGTTTAAGGTTAACTGAAACAGCTGGTTTAGGTGGGTGTCACCTTCCTCTATAACTCTAGCGTTCATGGGGACCTGACTTCAGCAGCTTATCTTTTCTTCCTCATAAACAGGATTGTCTAAGTAAGTAACAGTTCCTTTTCCTCAAAGATTAAGCCCTGACTACTTATCAGCCACCCAGCAGGCCTTTAAATGCACCTCCTCCTAAGAACTCTAATTTTACTCTCCTAAGGAGGCCTGCTGGGGGTTATAACTGCTGATTTAAGGGTTTGCTCACTGGCCCAAGTCAGCATCATTGATAGATCTGAGGGCTTTAACACCAGCTAACCAAATGACAAGAAAAAGAGATTTTTCTGATTAAGAGACCTCAATTTTTGTATCCTTTAACTTCAGAAAGAAGTTCTAACTGGTATGTATAAAATTTTACAATCACCTACTTTAAAATGGTCAAGAGTTTTTAGAGATCTGAAGCCTGAGATACATACTACTCTAAGTATAAACAGTTATTACAAGGGGCTGGGGATTTAGCTCAGTGGCACAGCACCTGCCTGGCAAGTGCAAGGTCGTGAGTTTGATTCCCGGTATCAGAGAAAAACCAAAAAAAAAAAAAAAAACCCACAGCTATTACATAGTTACACCAACCTGAACAATGCCAACAATCCCATCTGGGAGAGAAGACACACACGTGCATGCATGAGCAAGCACATGCATGCTTACACACACACACACACAGACAAAAGACCTAAAGAACTAGGCAGTATTAGGTCCTAACATAACAAGGCTCTCTTGTTCTCATAGTTTCCATTTGTTTTAACCATTTAAAAATTTAAAGCAAGCGCCAGTCTTCAGGCAGGCTAGCTTCCTGCCTGGTGGCTCCCGGAGGGTGGGCCCCCAGCCCACGGGGAGCCTCGGGCGGGGAGCACTGGTCTTGGGACCGGCAACTCACTCCCGGCCTGGTCGTTCCCTGGAAGGAGGGCTTCCGGCACACAGGGAGCCGCGGGTGGGTAGCGCCAGTCTTCGGGCTGGCTAGCTTCCTGCCTGGTGGCTCCCAGAGGGTGGGCCCCCAGCGCACGGGGAGCCTCGGGCGGAAAGCGCCGGTCTTTTGGGGTCTTTGGACCGGCAACTCACTCCCGACCTCGTCGTTCCCCGCCAAGGAGGGCTTCTGGTGCACAGGGAGCCGCGGGTGGGTAGCGCCAGTCTTCGGGCTGGCTAGCTTCCTGCCTGGTGGCTCCTGGAGGGTGGGCCCCCAGCGCACTGGGAGCCTCGAGTGGGGAGCGCTGGTATTCGGACCGGCGACTCACTCCCGGCCTGGTCGTTCCCCAGAAGGAGGGCTTCCCGCGCACAGGGAGCCGAGGGTGGGTAGCGCCAGTCTTCGGGCTGGCTAGCTTCCTGCCTGGTGGCTCCCGGAGGGTGGGCCCCCAGTGCACAGGGAGCCTCGGGCAGGGAGCGCTGGTCTTGGGACCGGCGACTCACTCCCGGCCTGATCGTTCCCTGGAAGGAGGGCTTCAGGCGCACAGGGAGCCGCGGGTGGGTAGCACCAGTCTTCGGGCTGGCTAGCTTCCTGCCTGGTGGCTCCCAGAGGGTGGGCCCCCAGTGCATGGGGAGCCATGCGGCGGCGAGTGCTATTGCGCACCAGCCCTTAGGCCGTCCGCCGCCACCGCTCAATTGAGATCTATCATGACACAGAGAAACAGTGATACAATTGGCCCACCATGCACC